ATTTCTCCTTTCTCCTTGGTCCCTTTGGGGCTGTTGGGTAGTACGGGGAGGACAGGAGCCGAAGAGCCGTCGGCTGCCCTTCTCTACAAAGCTGGGTCTCTACAGCCTCCCGAAAGGAGAGGCAAGCTCCATGGAGAGGTTTTGCGGCTCCCTTCGCTGCTGACGGAGCCAAAGAGGCGTGCAAAGAGGCCTTGATGTTCAGTAGATGCTTAGCCAACTTCACTCAAAAGTCTCCAGCCCTGCACTTCCGAAAATTCCAAGTCCTTTGCCAAGCTCCCTTGTCTTGAGTTTTTTGGCATGTTTAAAACCGAAATTCACTATCCGAAAGTCTTGCCTCCAGCGAACTTAGATTTACCAAAGCCGGCTTTCCGTTCGCCAGAGAGCTGGGTGTGGCTCGCTCTCGGCTTCTGCATCCGAAGTCCTCCTTGAAAGAGCCTGCAGTGCTCGGACAGTTCGATACCATGGCTTTCGGAGAGCGGTGAAGCTTTGCGCAAGGGTGCTTTACCAAAGATCTCCACCAGATCCTGGGGTTTGGGGGATCTCGAAGGCTGTCTCGGGCACCTGCCTGGCGAGTTGGGGCTTAGGGGGAAAAAGAGCTTTAGACTTGAGCCGAAGCCTCTCGAGACCAGAGGAAAGCCAGCAGTAGTCGGTACACAAAAGGCCCTTTTTCTTGAAGACAGGGTAGGATAATCCGAAAAGGACCCCCCGGAGTCGTGCGCTTCTTAAAGCCTTCTTGGACCATTCCGAGGGACGACTCCGGCCTCGTAAGCCTCTGCTCGTGGCCGCAAAAGAAATATCCGACATGGTGTGTTTTTCTCTTGCCGCTGGGGCATGCGAGAAGAGTTGGGTAGTGCATGTCACGCCTCCGCGTGGAAGCGAGAAGATGGTTGTAGAGGGGTGTTTCAGATTTCACGGTCATTAGACCCCTAAACCCTACAAGCCCTACCAGCCTTAAAGCTGGAAATCTCGTGATCACTGGAGCGGCCGGGATTGCAAGAAGGCGTGAAAGTCCATGATCCGCCCCGCAGCCGACGGCTGCCTGTGCAATGCGGCCTCAGCGGTGCTCTGCGAAGCAGACAGATTTCTTAGGTTTCGGGAGTTTAGGGTGTAGGACCTAGGGCCATGTGAATTTCTCCGTCCAGCCGTGGTCGGACAATCGGAACGCCTTAAGCCCTACGCCTTAAACCGGAGCCACTAAGCATGGTCCACAGCACCACCGCAAGGTCCACAGGAGTTCCGTCAAGGGAACGACCGTCAAACACAATGAAAAGTGGGCAGGACACCTGCTTGCTCTTCTTCAGGGATGGCTCGACATCGTTCGACGTTTGTGCATTTTGTCTCGTGGTTTGGGACGCAGCCCTGAACCCAGTGAAGCGGCCTCTCGGCCCTTCACCGCCTTCTTCACGCCTTCTCGTGATTGGTGGCTCTTGAAGCGCTCTGTCTGCCTCGCCATTTTGCCGCCTGGCTGGCTGCGCGGATGAAGCCTGTTAATAGGCCGCCAGGACTGCCAGGCGCATCTTGTCTTGGCCGAGGCGCGTTTCGGTGTGGGCCGTAGAGGGGCCGTAGCGGCCGAGTGTGGAGATGCCGAGACGGTCGCTGGCTTTTAGAGAGCTCCTGCCAGGTCGACTTGGCCAGTCTCCGACTCTTCCCACCGCCGCCAAGACCCGGACTACAGCTCCCCCTGCTCCTGAGGAGAGACTCCCACGCCTCGCCTCGCTTCAGCAACTACTCCAGACTCCACTCCGCCGTTTCGGTGGGCCCGTTCCTGAACTTCTTAAAACGGACACAGCCCACAGGAAGTTGCAATGTCTGATGTGATGATGATCATCGGATGCAAGCCTGTCGGAATTGGGTACGTACCCATCATGGACGCCAACCCACAGACACTTGTGATCAGAGGTTCTGGCCCTCCGCGTTGCAGGATCGATGAAGGCTTCAGAAGATGTGGACCGGCAAGATCAGCGAGTGCATGAGGTGCAGCAGCTATTCCCTTAAATCACAGCTTGTGAGGTCACAGGTCCAGTCAAGGCTTTCAAGCAGCTGTCGAAATCGCCTTCCAAGCCCTGCCTTCGCGAGCTGGGCCGTGACAGGATTCCCTTGAGACGAGAGCCCCGGGACGCTTCGGCAGATCAGAACCTAAACCTGGGCCTTTTGACAACGTCGGCGGTTGGATGAGCTTGCCAAATGCCCGCCCAGCCCCTGGCCAGAAGAAGGCCACCCAGCGCTTTTCCTAAAGACCCGCAAGGGGTCTTAGAACATGTGAAAGCTTGATGCCTGCCGGCCTTTTTCCGGGTCTTCGAGTTGGCCCCAGTAAGGGTCTCCTTTCCCCGCGCCAGCGCCCCGCTAGCTGCAGTGGACCGACGGGCTTTCTAGGAGCCTGAAGGAATAGCTGCTCTAAAGGGTTTCTATCGCAGAGTTTCGTAGTGGGGTGTACTATCTTCAATAGGCCCGGCATAGAAAGCACCGGCTTGGAAGCCGACCGAGCCCTCCTGGAAGATGCCTCCGACGTCCAAAACTCCCCCTATAAGTCTTAAAGGTGTGAAGCCGTCCAGCGCCCGGTGGGCGTCCTAGAAACCTCCTAAACCCTAAACCCTAGAAGCCCTAACTTGAGCAGAACTGCCCTAGTTCTGAGGCCCCGGTTTCTGGGATGTGCAGGCATCCCGGGCATCTGGCATCGTGTCTCCAGAGAGTTGCTGCGGAGCGGCGCCTCTTTACAAAGAGTCGCCTTTTCAGGTTTTCGGCTTTTGGGGGAAGTCTTTGGGAAGCTTCGACGGTTCTTCGGCCAGTTTAGGCTAGGTCTGAGGGCTTTGCCAGAGGCCGGAGCGCAAAGGGAAGTGTGCCTTCGCGTGGAATTTTCGCTGGCCCTCCTCTGTGCCGGAAGCCAGAGAGGCGTTGAGCCTTCAACTTCCTTGTACATCCGTTTGCACGGGATTTTTCCTCCAGACGGCCGGAAGTTGCAGGAGAGTCAATTCTGCCCCAAACAACCTCTACCCTGGGTAGCTTAGGGGCTTTCCCAGGAGTTTGGGAAAGAGTTGGGCCCTTGATCTGGCTGAAAGTTAGGCTGCTGCCCTTGCGGAGGTTTAGAGGATGTGACACTCTGACCCAGGAGCTGCACTCTTGCGCGGCCTCCCCGGAGTTCCTGGCGCCGGGCCTGGTCCTGAAAAGACGACTTTTGGAGGACCGGCAGGAAGCACCAAGGTTCTCCAAGAAGTCTTCAACCCGAGCTCTTCGAGGCAACTTCACAGCAACGAGGCTCGGGCCTCTCTGGGCTTAGTGTAAGAGGGGCGGCTGAATTTGGCAGCTGCTCCGGCTTCGGCTTCCCTCGCCGCCTTCTGAAGCAGCTGGCCCTCTGATGCAGAGCTTTTATGTCATTCCACAATCTGCCGATCTGCCCGCAGTCCGAGGCTGGAAGGGCCGGCCCTCCCCTTGTCGATCGCCAGGCGGGGGTAGCCTGTGAGGTTCTAGCACGAGATTCTTCTAGAACTAGCTCTGCTTGACCTCCGCGGTCCCGTCATGCAAGAGTGCTCCCGTGTCCTTTCAGCCGCCGCCCGGACTCTGGGATGCAGAGTGACGGGACCCTTGTTCGTCTCGGTGGCTGGTGCTGAAAGAGCCTTAGACACCTGGCTCAAGCGTCAGCAGAGGGGCAGAAAAAAGGGGGCTCCGGTATGGTGGTGCTTGATCTGAGCGCCACGTCCGCAGTGCAGCCTGCAGTTCTCTCCTGCTGGAACGCTAGACTAGACAACTTGGCCAGGAGCAGTCGGAGCAGAGCAGGTGCAGTGGACTTAAAGCCAAAAGAGCCGGTGTGGCGCAGTGAGACTTGGACTCTGCAGGCCTTGGACCTGGTGCGCCGATCTTTCAGAGTCATCCACCACAGACTCCTCTGTGCTGTTACCCTAGGCAAGCTACTTGTGATCCGGTCCTGTGCACGTGCCTTTTGGGGCCCATGGACATCTCTTGAGCCTTGCAGGTTCGACAAAATCTGCCCTATAGCGGGCGTCTGAGGCCGCGCAAGCTCCTTACCGGGCCGGTGCTTCGTTCCTTGTAATCGCCGCGATGCCCTGCGGAAGGAGGGCGAGAGACCTGCCTTCTGTGCTGCCCGGACATTGATTTCTTCCCGTTTAGCTGTGATCTTTCGGGCATGTCGTGCTGCCTCCACAGATGCCGCGCTGAGCCAGTTAAGTAACTGTTCTGGGATGCATTGGATCACACCTTGAAGCCCACACGCATCAGGGGTGCTCGCGGTTAAGCACCCGGGAGTTTAGCTCGAAGCACAAGAGCCCCGAGCCTAAAAGTCGAACATCGCTCCTCGCACAGCACTGGCTGGGAGAGGCGTTGGGGACTGGCCGCCTTGCACCGGTTCCAGGTCCCATTGCCTGGAAGGAAGAGAGGGATCTTGAGTGATCTCCTGCATGCGGCTTCCGCAGTTCCTGAAGCCCAAAGAAGAGAAGGTAAGAAGTTTCGCAGTGAATTCTTGAAGCCCGAAGAAGAGAGCTAGTTAAAGTTAAGTTTCGGAGCACCAGAGCTTGGCAGCCTCGAGCTCTCCGATCTTCGGGGGCCACTCTGGGAAGCAGCTAGCTCCCGGCAGCGACACTCCAACCCCTTAGCTGCAGAGTAGTGTCCTTCCAAAAAAAGTGGGGAGTTGAGGGGTCCTTAGATCAACGGCTCGCCCCCAGGCCCACGAAGATGGCGATTTTCAGACACCCTCCGTGTATAGGATCTTCACAGATACTCCCACGAGAACCGAAGTTCCGTGCACAGCAAACGCATCAAGGCTTCTGAGCCCAAGGTCAGTTGCACAAGTCGACAGCGAGATCGCAGCCAAGGCCATAGAACTGAGCCCCAGAGACGACGCGCAGCCTTCAACGAGGATTTCAGTTCCTCAACATGGGGCCTTAGTTCCTTCTTCGTCGGATAGAGGTGTTCGCTTGCAAATGTTTGGCAACAGCAGACTGCTTCCATGAAGAACAGCTGCAGGCCTTCCTGAGCTGCAAATCACCCACAGCCTCGTTTTCCTAGCTCACTGCCATATCCGCTCACGAACATGTCGTTTTGAGCTAGAGAAAAGTAAGCTGCCTGGGGAGCTTGAAATGGGAGACTCAAAGGGATGATGGCGCCAGACCTCGGTGATGTTGCGCTGACTGGCGGTCTCCGAAGAGACGATGGAAAGCCTCATCAGCCCTCATAACTTGAGCCCCAGTTTAGCCTTTGAGCCACTTCGCTGGTGGCCATCTGTGCGTGCACGCCCTGGGGCCGAAGTTTAGTTTAGTGGGGCAGGAATCAGGAAGGCTCTTTTGCCAGAGGCTGTCGGGAGCTAAGGCTTACGGCTTGAGGATTCACCGCTCTTGAGGCGCGGACACTGCTCGAGGGCAGCTCTTGCAACACTGTAGATTTTTTGGCCTTTTGGGGGCCGTAAGGGAACCTTGCTTCACTTGTCGGTGCCCACGTCTCCTCGGGGACTGTGACCTCATGGAAGCACCAAAGTGCCGAGCTCCCGTGTTCCGAGTCTTGCGCCTGAGCCCGTGTCAGCGGGTGGGAACCTAAGGCCGTAACCCCCATTCGGCCCTGAGCCACAAGGTCCTTGAATCAACCTCAACATCATTCTAATGATCTTATAAGCCCTCTAAACTTCCCGAAGCCGTAATGGCGCTTGTCACGGCCAACTTGAGGCGAGTCTTGCCTGCCCACCCTGACTTCGAAGTTGGCTTTGCGGGCCGTGGCACTTCCCAAACCGAGCCTCCGGTCAGTGCCACAGACATTGGCCTTCTCTTGGCCCAACCCTCTCCGGAGTGGCTGCCGCAAGCAGGACCACGAACGGCGGAGCCCAGCCAGAGAAATCCAAAGTCAATCGCGGGCAAAGTCTTTGAGTACGACCCGTCACGTCCTTGCTGTCCGATCCCCCTGAGGTGGCCGCATCAACATAGCGGGTTGCATTCCCGGCCACGGTTGCTCTAGGCTGCGGTCTTTGGGATGAGGCGCAAGGGGGCCACGAGGTGATGATGGTCTTGGATTTCCTTGGGAGGAGCCTTCCGTGAGAGAGTCCAGTGCACGGCGCTTGCGCCTCCATTGGGTACTGGCCGAATCTCGTGAGAACCGTTGCGAGAGGTGACAGGACAGGCATAGGAAAGCCTTGTAGCGAAGGAAGCTTCGCGTCTTCATCCTCCTAAAGCCTCATAAACTTAAACCCCTAAGTTAGTAACTCCCCGAGCCTTTCAAGTCTGCGAAGTGCAGAAAGGCAAGGAGGAGTGCCAGCAGTGCCACTGGCATCAGCCGATCCTATCGCTAAGGCTCCATCGCTGATGAAGTGATGACCTTGGGGTTTCCGGCCAGGCCAGGAGGGCTTTAACGGGTTTTGGGGGCCTTCGGCAGGGAGGCCTCCGTGGCCACGCGACTGCCTCCGGCTGCATCTCTGAAGGCTTGAAGGGGGTCGTGTTGGTAACGGGTTTTGGGCTTCTGAAACGAGGGGCCATCTCGGAGAGTGAGGGAGATATCAGTGTCTGACGCCGAAAATTTCAAAATGTTGATTGTAAGCCAAACCCTCTCCAAAGGGCAGCGTTGGCTTCGGGATAAGGGATTGAGGATCCCAAAAGGCAGGCTAGGCCTAGGTGGGGCACCCTTAAGGAGTTGACTCTGGCCGCAGCTCCCATGTGTTTCGCCCCAAGGCGCCATCTCCTTTCGCCTTGCTTAAACAACCAGAACCCACGGAGCTCCATTCTCGACTTGATGGCCCTGCAGGGGCTAAACAGTGAAGCCGATCAGCCCCTCGCAGCTTTGATGCTCAGAAAGTTTCAGGTTCTGGGCCAGGTCTCAAAGGGCACTCAACCTTCCGCAGTTTAAACGCTTTAGCATTCAGCTCCCCTTGAGGGAGGGATTTCTCTCGCCCTCCCCACAGCGCTCCTTGATGTCCCAGAGGCTGGCGACCCTCGGTCTAAAACGCAGCTTCGGAAGAGTCGGCATGCAGAGGGGGACCTCGCGGTCTAGCCGTGGCATTGGGAAAAAAGCCTCATCACTCAGGCTTCGTGTTGCGGCGCGCGACAACAAACCAGCAACGTAGCTGCGGATCAAAGAGATCGCAATTAACCAGTGACGCACCGTTGTGGCCTGGTCCGATTCGGATTGCACGAGGCAGGGTACGAACGTTGTGGCATCAGCAAGCATGCTGCTGCTACCGTTTAGTGGGAATGTCGTGGTCGGGTTCCGTGGCTGCCATATGCAACCAGCGAATTCCTTCTCAGACAAAGGCGGGTGGCTGTTGTACCCTAGCTGCGAGTGCTTGGAAGCAAGGTTGAGGTAAGTGAGTTTGTCAGAATCTGTTTCGGTGACGAGCCCGCAACAGCAAATTTCGCAATGCAATCCATGACACTCAGAGACAGCACCGTCGCGATAGTGCAGGCACTAGCTCCTGCAAGGGTTGCTGCACGGCTTCGCCTTCCACCCATGGGCAGTCGACCCATCCAGCTCATGCCACTGGGTTGTCTTTTGGGACAGTCGAGCGGCAGGCGCCTCGGCTAAGGCCGGCGTTCTTGTTGACGGCATCTAGGTTGCGCTTGGCGCGAAGTGTAAACACAGCAGGTTCGAGCCACAGCAGCCGTCAGGCTGACGGTGCGGTGGCATGTGACAGCGCGCTCGCGGCCCTGACCTTCGCCCAAGATGTCCTTGCATAGCTCCTCAGCACACCTCTTCCTGTCACTGAAGCCATTTTTGCATCTGCCGCCTCCTCTGTCAGCTGCGTGGCTCTGCTGTCGCACTAAGACGCTGGAGGAGCTGGGGATAAGGCTCCGCCCAGGAACGGCCATGCTTCCAGCTTTGAAGAGCCCGTTTCCTGGGATGCTTGGGAACCCTCGGGGTGGCTTCGGAGCATGGTTACTCAAATCTCCCCTAAACCGTTAAAGTTGGGCTGAGAGAATGCGACGGCAATCCCTGCGGTTCAAGCCTGACTCTCATGCTGTTCTGCTGGCTTTATGTGCTGCGCTTCTGGAAGGAGAAGGAACCCAACAGTGCTGGATCGCCCCGATGCACCCGAATCCTAGAGCTTGGCATCAGAGCTCCTGATCCTCTTCCCTCTTGACATTGGCTGTGCATCCATAACCCTTTGCCGGAACGGCAGGAAGCTCTCCCAGCCGGCTGGCAGAGCCAGCGTGCCGGCATGTCATTTGGCTTTCTATGCGCATCCATGCCTAATCTTCAGCTCAGGCTGGTACTCGTGTCAAAGCCATGGATACGTCTGAAACCAGAGAGCACCTTTGGCTGCCCTGTTCAGAGCTCTAGTCAGCCCCTGGCCCTGTCATTCCAAGCCTTCTCGGCGGTCCCAGAAAGGTCGCAAGCTGCCACTTGCCGTCGCGACATCTGCTTTGGCCCTGCCCTTTTCGCCCCTCCGGGCTGGGATGCTGTGGTTCAGAGACTTTCTGCGGGGGTTTCCCGCGGTAGGCCGTTTCAGGACGTTCGGCCAAGTCCACCTGTGACGGCCTGCAGGGCCTGGATGGTCGCCTCGCGGGACGTAAGCCGAACTTAGGAGCGCTGTCCTGCGCAAGCCCACCTTCTCAGGCCATAATCCTGTTCTGCCCAGTCCTTCTGCTGAGCGAAAGCGTGAGCAGGAGGCGAGGCTGGAGCCCTCACCCAATTCGTGAGATCCTAGGAAGTCCTAAACCCTGAGCCCTGCTAGGTTCTGTATGGGAGTTGGTCGATCCTCTGTCAGGTTCGTGGGTTGGTAGATCGGAGGACGTCGTATTCATGTCATAGCGCTTTGAAGAGCTGAGATCCTGAAAGATCCTGGGCCGGAAGCACGCAAACTGCTCTCGGTCTCCCCACAGCGCTCCTTGATGTCCCAGAGGCTGGCGACCCTCGGTCTAAAACGCAGCTTCGGAAGAGTCGGCATGCAGAGGGGGACCTCGCGGTCTAGCCGTGGCATTGGGAATAAAGCCTCATCACTTAGGCTTCGTGTTGCGGCACGCGACAACACACCAGCAACGTAGCTGCGGATCAAAGAGATCGCAATTAACCAGTGACGCACCGTTGTGGCCTGGTCCGATTCGGATTGCACGAGGCAGGGTACGAACGTTGTGGCATCAGCAAGCATGCTGCTGCTACCGTTTAGTGGGAATGTCGTGGTCGGGTTCCGCGGCTGCCATATGCAACCAGCGAATTCCTTCTCAGACAAAGGCGGGTGGCTGTTGTACCCTAGCTGCGAGTACTTGGAAGCAAGGTTGAGGTAAGTGATTTTGTCAGAATCTGTTTCGGTGACGAGCCCGCAACAGCAATTTTCGCAATGCAATCCATGACACTCAGAGACAGCACCGTCGCGATAGTGCAGGCACTAGCTCCTGCGAGGGTTGCTGCACGGCTTCGCCTTCCACCCATGGGCAGTCGACCCATCCAGCTCATGCCACTGGGTTGTCTTTTGGGACAGTCGAGCGGCAGGCGCTTCGGCTAAGGCCGGCGTTCTTGTTGATGGCATCTAGGTTGCGCTTGGCGCGAAGTGTAAACACAGCAGGTTCGAGCCACAGCAGCCGTCAGGCTGACGGTGCGGTGGCATGTGACAGCGCGCTCACGGCCCTGACCTTCGCCCAAGATGTCCTTGCATAGCTCCTCAGCACACCTCTTCCTGTCACTGAAGCCGTGTTTGCATCTGCCGCCTCCTCTGTCAGCTGCGTGGCTCTGCTGTCGCACTAAGACGCTGGAGGAGCTGGGGATAAGGCTCCGCCCAGGAACGGCCATGCTTCCAAGATTGCGATTTTTGCCAGGCCCTCGATGCGGATGCAGCACCGTCCAGAGGGTTCAAGTGTGAGTGCTTGTCGGCATCAAGCGTCACTTTCGTCTCCACTGCTTCACCGGGGCTGTGCGATGGGTCTGCAAACTTCCACGCTGCCATGATCCATGCACCCTGCTACTAGGCCATGCTAGGGGCATTCCTAATCAAGCCTGATGCAGTCTTGCAAGCAGACAACACTGGTCGAAGGTGTTGCAGCACCAGCTCAGATTGTTTAGAAACAGGAAGGCTTTGCAGCACGTGCTGGGTGCAGTGACGCCTCACATGGTGCCGCACTGGGCCTCTTCTCCTCTGTGCTGGGTACATTCAGGGGGTCTGCCATGATCCAGTAGCCCTGCTACGCCATGCTTAGGACCATGCTCCCAACTGCAAAAGCATTCCCAAACTAAGCTTGGAGCAGTCTTACCAGCAGTGGCAGACAGCACGAGTTGAGCGCTTTGCCGTGCAGGCGCGGTTTGCTTGCCGGTGAATTCTGTTCGATGCCTTTGTTCCAGAAGCTTCGCAGTCAGCCGGCTTTGGATCACATGTTCGGTGCAGCGCCATGCTCGGCCTTTTCGTTGAGCCTTCCGACGGATTCTCTTCGCGAGGCGAGCGACTCTAAGATCCTTTGTCTGCCGCCGCATCTGCCACATCTGCCTGAAAGGCCGACGCAAAGCTGCCGGTACCTCCGCCGTGTTGTCGGGTTTCTTCCCCCAGAGTAAAGGTTCCCCTTGCCGTGCCCTCGCCAGACCAGACCCTCACGAAGACAACGTCGATCTAGTTACTTTTAAGTCTGGCCTCCCTCCAGAGCGTCAGCGGCGCACATGGAGGGTTCAGTGCTGACGTAGCTTTGCTTGCACGCCCTTTGCAGTGATGTCCGTGCTTTGCGACAACGACCTTGAGCATACGAGTAGCAAGCAGCACGAGGAAGAACCATGCCGGCTTTTCTCCGCTCTCCAGGTTGGGGCCGGGGGGCCCCTGGTTCCAGGGAGATGCCATCCTAGAGGCCTCTGAAGTGTGCCATCACACCCACCATCCCTTAAGAATCGCAGAAGCTGCTCTGCAATGAAGCCTTGAGTCTGTTCAGTGGTAAGCTGCCCTCCCGCAATACTGGCTCTTCCGACGCTGCGGTGCAGTGCACAGCTGAGCTTGATGCGGCTTGATCTCACGTCCGAGCTTGAAACATCCTAAACATCACCAACGTCGAGCTGTCCTGTTCAGGCCGGTTCGGTAAACGTCCCTTTCTAATAGGCCTTTTCACTCGATCCTAGGGTCCTAGGGCGTCCCTAGGGGAGCTTGGAAAAGTGAAAGGGCCTCTTAGAAACTTTACAATCCCAGAGATGGAGCAAGTAAAGGGGCCCCAACCCCTTCCAAAGGCGACCCTTTAAAAGTGAGTTCACCCAGGCCACCGCGGCCTGGAGAGCTCTCTGCCTGGGCCTAGGCCCAAATCGACTGCCAGGCCAATGCTACGACCTGTGGCCCTTCCTGAGCGTGGCAAGGGCGCTTGGAAAACGCTGGCAGGTGCTTTAGGATGTCGGAATGATTTGACATGAGATCTCTCTCTCTCTCTCTCTATATATATATATACACTGTAGTCTGTATATAGTCTATACTTAGGTCAACTTATGTCATGATGTGCCCCGGTTCGGGTTTAGGGCCGTTTAGGGTGTGGCGGGTGTGGGGTCCTGGGTATTTATGGTTTGGGGTGGCTACGAGAAGGATCTAGACTGTTCACTGACCCTGGCAGTTACAGGCATCGCATTCCATCATCAACATAACTATATGCACGCCGGCGCGTCTGCAGCGCTACGTACGCACGCCATGTCTCCGGATGCTTCGGTGTGGGGATGCAAAGGGTAACCTACAGTCTCCATTGTAGTTCCTTTTTGGGGTTACCTTTTAGGGCCCTTACTATAGATTTTGGTTCAACCAAAAAAAGGAACTACAATGGAGACTATCGGAAGGGTTCAGGCCGCGTAGTTGTTCCTGGAAGGAGGACCGAGGAAGGCACTATCTTGCAGCCTCCCACAGGAGGTCTCAAAGCCATTTAAGCAAGCCTAGGCTGTGAGGGCTTGAAGCCCTTTCTGACTGTCTCTGACTCGCAACCTCGGTAGGGGATTCGTGGAATTAAGCCCTGCAGCCGCAATCCCTAACGGAAGCCGGCTCCCACTTGAAGCTCAGGGAACATAGTCAGCAGGTGATAGTTGAGGCATGTTGTTTGTCCGAACAATCGACGCGCAGTTTCCCCCGCACTAAGTTTCCTCAGCCGTCCAGCATTCCGGGAGGCGTCAGGAGGTGTCGCGGTTTGGGGGAAGCGGTCTCTCGCTTCTAGGTCTTGCCTCTGTGGCCCTCGCCATCACTGTAGTACCGGTGGGGGGTCTTTATTGGAGGCGCCCTTGTGGAATCTGGTAAGTGATCATGAAGCCTGCTTCGCACATTGCCAAACTACATTTCGCATCGTCGTAGTTCTTTGTGCCGAACTGTCCGAGTGTTTGCGCCATGTGAAGCCCGTCTGAACGCTCCCCAATCCCGAATCGCAAAAGCTTGAAACCCAGCAACCCAAACTCCAAGACCTGCTAAAGCCCTCGGGAGCATGCCGCGGCTCCGCAGCTGTTTCGGATCGTTTTGACCTACATTATCCTTGCCGTTGGAGATGGCATTGCACTGGGATCAGACGCCCAAGAGGCGGGCAATCCCTGGGTTTAGGGTTCAGGCTTCAGGGTTTAAGGGTTTAGGGGTTTAGGGTTCGGGGATTTCAATCCGAGATCCCCTGCCAGGCAGGGTCTCTACGACCCAACACACGAGTCCGATGCTTGCGGAGTCGGCGCCGTCATGGACATGGGCCCCTCTCCTTGCCGTTTGGGGTACCAGGAGAGCTCGCAGAAAAACGTTAACGCAGAGCTGCTGGCTTATCTTGACTAGAAGTGGAGGTATTGTAGTTGCGGTTCTGAACTCCAAACCTTTGACCCAAGGTTCCTGAACTCGTCAAGACGATAGCCGAGGCAAGAAACCCTCCCGCAAGACCCTCACGGATGCCCGCGACATGGTGGTGCGCATGACCCACCGTGGTGCCAAGCAGGCGGATTCAACAGCTGTGGGTCATGGGTTTAGGGTTTAGGGTTTAGCTGTGCGTTATATGAAGGCTTGAACGTTAAAACAGCAGACCAGGCTGCTGCGGTCTTGTAGTACACGCATTTCTGGCTAAGGAGCACGTCGCTGATGATTCAGGTCCCTACATCATAGGATGTTCGCAGGAAAGGCTAGATGTTGTCGATGAGATTCCTTCTTGGCCCAGGGCTTCGGGCTAGGTCCACGGTTGCTTGTGTCTTGTGAGAGTCCAGATCAACGAATAAAGTCCAGCTTGAGTGCAGCTATGAAACTCAATGCTTGGATCTCAAGCATAACCCTAAACCCTAAACCATTGAATCACCAAATTGATGTGAACCTTTGGGAGGCCCATGAGGACGACGGCGACGGCGTCGGGATCATGATTTCTATCCCGGACGAGCATCTTGGACGTCGAATTCCAGGTCTGACTGCTTTTTAAAGAGACATCATCGAATTACACAGATATCCCTCCCAGGCGTTTCTCAGTTGGGACACAAGACTGGGGAGACTCGAAGCCTCAAGGTACTACCGCACCTGCTGCACCTTCGCCCTGCCTGAAGCTGGCAGCTACGGTGTCGGAAACCTCTTCATGCCGCCTCAGGCACCGTGGGGGGGGGGGGGGGGTCCGGGGAGAAGTGGGATCAAGAGGTTCTTGCTTCGTCTACCTAGACTGTAAGGGAGAATTAGTGCTAAATAAATTGTCAGACCCCTACATTATGCCGCAATGCCGAAACCCCGTTCATGAGATCGAAGTTGGAGGATTTCCAAAAGACCCGGTAATCTTTGTTTTGCTACTTTGCGGAGCAGGGGACGCAGCATGCAGCGAAGTATGTAACGAAACTCATTGTCGTCATATAGCATTTATAGTTCTCTCGACTTGTATAAGCCGAATGAAGGGACGCCCTAAACCCTAAACCGATCACCCTTCGGTAGCTATCCCCGAGCCCTTTCAGCTCCATCTCGGCCTTTTTTAAGGAGGAGAAGCGCGAGGACTCCATCAAGTTGGTCGAGCGCATGGCACGGAAGTTGGGGCTCCAGGTGGGGATTTGTAAACTACTAGTAGGGCTTTCAAAATACGCTTTGTGATCCTTTTCAGAGAGGGATTGGTAAACTACTACCAGTAGTAGGGCTTTTGTAGGCTTTGATCCTTTCATATGTTGCTCTTGTTTTACATGTCTTGAAAGAATTTGGGCTTCATAGACCTTTGTATACTTATGCAAAGTCGTTTACGAGACTTCACGGTTTTTTGATAATAAAGGTGCTGAAGCCAGGGGTCCGAAGTCAGGGATACCTATAATAAGTAGAATGTCGGGCTTCACTGGTCTGGAGTTTAGCATGTTTTCCAGCGCTGTTCTTTGCGCGAAGAGGGAGATGATGGTTTTGATGAAGATGGTGCCTTTGGTGCTGATGATGATCATGTTCTTGTTGCTCCGCTTGATGCTATCTTGTCGTTGAGCTTTCTTGCGGCGTGGCTTTCCGGCGCTGTTTGTCAATAGAATTTCATCTAGGTTACTACTCTTTTTGGCAGAAATCGAGCGTGGAATGCGTTCTACCTCGATCCGTACTTAAAACCAAAATGGGCTCAACATGTGTTACGCTTCCTTTTTGTGAAGGTGGCTCTTGCTGCGAGTCGATTCCCTGTTTTTTTTTTTTGCTTCTGGTGCTACCAGTACAGCGACTCTGCCGCCACTGCAGCCACCATGTTGGCGGCGGCTGCTACTAATTACACCACGCTACAGTCACCAGAAATGCGACGACTGTGACGATGACAGGTCTTAGCTGGGACTTCTCTTGCCTGCGGTTGTTGTATACAAGTGGTTTTAAGGCATGATCAAGTCAAGCCCGTGGTTTTTGCGGCTTGCAATCCAAGCCCGTCTTTGCATGTTAGGCCAGGGGGGTCCAGAACGCCTCCCTGTCCCTGGACCCTGAGCCCGAAACCCAACTTTAATTCCTGAGCCCGCGCAGCACAGCCACCGAAGCTCCCCCGACAAGTTCAAGCATACTGAAGCTGCTGTTGCCAGGTCCTGAAATCCTTAAATATCCCGGAGCTCCTTACAGCCTTGCAACTCCAGATCTCTCAGCGCGAGAAGGCCTAAAAGTCAAGCCTAAACCCTCAAACCCCAGAGCCCTAAACGCTTAAAGCCCAAAACTCCTTGAACCCTAGGACTTTAAACACCCCCCCCCCCCTCCCAAACCGAGGACTTTAAACCCCGGAATCCCTGAAAAAAATCTCTCCCCGAGACACTTCTTAGGGCCTGGGGCTCGGTCAGGTCATCGGTTGGAGGGCGCCTCTCCCCGTGAACTCCCTGGTGCTTGGGCCCTATGCGAGGCCATTCAGGGCGTTAGGCTGGTTTAGGCAGGTTTCGGCTCTTTTTTTGGGGGGGGAGGGGGGGGGGGTTAGGATTCGGTTTTGGGTTTTTGTGTTTGCTTGGAGTTCCGAGTTTCAGGATTGGGTGGTCGTTGCGATGAGTACAAAGCGTCTGTTGCGAGAGGTGAATCATGGCTCTTCTTGGAAGTGTCGAATAAATGGCCCTCGCCTCGACACTCAAAGGGCTTCGGGTCTCGCAACTACCAGTTTCTTGGAAGTGTCAAAAGAAGACTTTCAACGCATGGCTAGCTTTAAAGATCGCAGGCTTTGCGCTAATATCAGGGTCGGGAGGAAGCATCCGAGAGACGATCGTGGCAGTAGCGATGCTAAGGCAGAGCGGTGCACTGGGAGCCTCAACATGTCGGATTGATTTCAGCGTAGGGCTTTGGCACGTAGGTGATCTTCGCGCGGAAAAACACGAACAACAACCATGGGGCACCGGTGAATTCAAGACAGGTCTCCCGAGCAACGGGAGTGGTGAACGGCGAGCGGTTTAGTAGCAACACCAGAAGCAGCAGCTGCAGGAGTAGGAGTGGTAGCAGTGGTGGTGGTGGTGG